ATTCGTGCAGTGGTTTTTGAGTTATGTTACATTTGAACATTACATTTTTATTTATATAGATTATTTATTTATGACCTTTATATGCTGCCCTTCTCACCCTGAAGGGGACTTATAGTGGCTTACAAGTAATATGTAAATACAATATGTTATATTATTACCATAGGACAATATTAGTATTACATATTACTATATTGTGCTATTTAGTTTTTATTTATTTATTGCCTATATTTATATTATATAGTATAATGCGATACCATTATACTGTAATATTATTAGTAATATTACATGTAATAAGAAATATATAATTATTATATTATGATTAATATTATATTGCATTACATTATAATATTATCAATATTATATGTGTATACAATATATTATATTATTAGCACAGCTCAATATTAGCATTATATATTACTATATTGTCCTATGCAACTACATTGTAATATTATTAGTAATTTTATATATAACACTAGCCGTCCCCTGCCAAGCGTTGCTGTGGCCCAGTCTGGTGATCTCGACAATAAAGCAATGAGAAAGTGTTGGTTTCTAATAGATGTAATGTCTTGATGCTTGTGGATAAACAGTACTTCTTGTTGTTTCTTTGTCAGTGTTGATGTGGAGATTGTCTGGTTTGCCCACCCTGGAACATGCAACATATCATTGTCCTTCTTTAGGGGTCCCTTTCAAGTCTATGATACTATATCTGTCATATACACGTGTGTGTGTATGAATCATATATATCTATCTATATCTATGGCTGGATGGCTCTTTGTCAGGAGGGCTTTGTTTACGCTTTCTTGCCCTGGTGAAGGGAGTTGGACTGGATGGCCTTCAGTATTTTCTGTTGGTCATGGGGGTTCTGTGTGGGAAGTTTAGCTCAGTTCTATCACTGGTGGGATTCAGAATGCTCTTGGATTGTAGGTGAACTATACATTTCAGTAACTACAAATCCCAAATGTCAAGGTCTATTTCCCCCAAACTCCATCTGTGTTTATATTTGGGCATATGGAATATTCGTGCCAAGTTTGGTTCAGATCCATCATTGTGCTGTCTGGATGCAGGTGTACTACAACTCCCAAACTCAAGGTCAATGCCCACCAAACCCTTCTAGTGCTTTTTGTTGGTCTTGGAAGTCCTGTGTGCCAAGTTAGGTTCAATTCCAATTCCATTGTTAGTGGAGTTTAGAATGCTCTTTGATTGTAGGTGAACTATTAATCCCAGCAACTACAACTCCTAAATGACAAAATCAATATTTTTGAGTGAAGGACATACATTGGGTTTGGTGTCCAAATTTGGTGTCAATTCGTCCGGTGGTTTTTGAGTTATTAATCCCACAAACGAACATTACATTTTTATTTATATAGATATTGTTCTATGCAACTACATTGTAATATTATTACGCTCTCTACGTGGGGTTGCCTCTGAAGACTGCCCGGAAGCTGCAGCAAGTCCAACGCGCGGCAGCCAGATTACTAACGGGGGCTGGGTACAGGGAGCACACCACTCCGCTATTACGCCAGCTCCACTGGCTGCCAATTAGCTTCCGAGCACAATTCAAAGTGCTGGTGTTGACCTATAAAGCCCTAAACGACTCCGGCCCTGTTTACCTCTCCGAACGTATTCTCCCCTACGAACCATCAAGATTATTATTATCATCTGGAGAGGCCCTGCTCTCGGTCCCACCGGCCTCGCAAGCGCGCCTGGTGGGGACGAGGGACAGGGCCTTCTCGGTGGTGGCCCTCGACTCTGGAACTCTCTCCTCTGGAGGCCAGAACCGCCCCATCCATCCTAACATTTAGGAAACTGGTGAAGACGTGGCTGTGGAGTCAGGCCTTCGATGAATGAGACAACACCATAGGACCCTGGATGGAAGTTGATGTAGATCCATCTTAATAGGACGACTGACCACTGTAGTTTTATATATAGTGTTTTCAAAGTTGTTTTTGTAATTGTGATATATGATATTTTAATGAGTGTATATGTTTTTTATGGCTGTAAACCGGGCTGAGTCCCTCAATGAGGTTGAGAAGCTCGGTATAGAAGACTGTGAAATAAATAAATAAATAATATTATATATAATATGAAATCTAAAATTATTACATTATTATTGGTATTATATTGTATTAGATAATAATATTATCAACATTATATGTATACATGTTAAATTATAAGCATAGTACAGGAGACAAGATGGAACTGTCTTCCTGGCCCTCTCTCTCTTCACTCTATATATGAAAGATGGATGGGAAAAGGAAAGGCTTAGGAGCTTTCCAGCTGCTGAGAACTACAACTCCCAGGCTCCCTTCCCCGTTCCCCAGACTGGCAAAGGCCTCTGGGAGTTGTAGTCCTGCAAAAGGCCTTTTTCCCAATTTATGCCCAACTCTTCTTCTTAGAATCATAGAATCCAAGAGTTGGAAGAGACCTCATGGGCCATCCAGTCCAACCCCCTGCCAAGAAGCAGGAATATTGCATTCAAATCACCCCTGACAGATGGCCATCCAGCCTCTGCTTAAAAGCCTCCAAAGAAGGAGCCTCCACCACACTCCGGGGCAGAGAGTTCCACTGCTGAACGGCTCTCACAGTCAGGAAGTTCTTCTTCATGTTCAGATGGAATCTCCTCTCTTGTAGTTTGAAGCCATTGTTCCGCGTCCTAGTCTCCAAGGAAGCAGAAAACAAGCTTGCTCCCTCCTCCCTGTGTCTTCCTCTCACATACTTATACATGGCTATCATCTCTCATCCTTCTCTTCTTCAGGCTAAACATGCCCAGCTCCTTAAGCCGCTCCTCATAGGGCTTGTTCTCCAGACCTTTTATCATTTTAGTCGCTCTCCTCTGGACACATTCCAGCTTGTCAATATCTCTCTTGAATTGTGGTGCCCAGAATTGGACACAATATTCCAGATATCCCAACATATTATTATTATATAATTACATTATTATATTATTAATATATTACTATATTACATTATTATATTACAAGGAGACAAGGTGGAATAGTCATCCTGGCCCTCTCTCTTGACATGAAAGATGGATGGGAAAGGGAGCTACAACTCCCAGGCTCCCCAGGCTGGCAAAGGCCTCTGGGAGTTGTAGTCCTGCAAAAGGCCTTTTTCCCAAGTCATGCCCAACTCTTCTTCTACATTGTTGTCATCCCTTTCAGCTTCATTTTATGCCTCCAAGTGGGTTTTATGGTATTTCATGGCTCTAAACGGGTTTGATTCCATTGCATGGCTCCAAATGGGGTTGCTCAGGCCCCGCCCACTCCATCTCCTCAAAAGGAGAGGCAAAACTACGTTTCCCAGCATGCCCTTCGCTGGGGAAGGGGCTCCATGAGGACCACAGGGCAGTCGTTTAAACCCCTCCATAGGCATTTCCGGTTCCGCCGTAGTTACAAGCTCCCCGCGCGTGGACTACAACTCCCAGCCCCCCCGAGGACCACGGAGGCGGTGAGAGGAGGCGCAAGGGACGCCGGGAGTTGTAGTTCGGCCCCTGCCTGCGGCCTACCTGCCCCTTCTCGAAGGCTTCGCGCTCCATGGCGGACTCTCCCCCGCCTCCGCCTCCGCCGCTCCCTCCTGCCGCCCCCGGGGAGGCGCCGCGCCGGCCCAGCAGGCCCAAAGGGGCGCCCGCGACGTGGCGGCCCGAGGAGCGCTCCATCGCGGACCCCGCTCTGAGAGGAATTCGGCAGGCCTCACTGCTTTTCCGATTGGCCCGGCAGGCCGCCAATCATGCCTGTCCCACGCCGCGATTGGAGGAAAGTGCTAAGGAAGGCGGGGCTCTGAAGCTCTCCTCTTATTTCGCCCCGCCCCGCCCTGCCCCTCGCGCCGCTATTGGCCAAGATGAGCTGCCACTCATGCCTTCCCCGAGCTGCTATTGGAAGAAAGTCCTAAATAAAGCGGGGCTTTGGGTTTCCCCCGCCCACCCGCCCCGCGAGTGGAGGAAAATCCTGAGAAAGGTGGAGCTTTGAGTTTCCCCCGCTTTCAGCCCGCACCGCCTATTGGCGGAGAAGCACCGCCACTCATGCTTTCCCTGCGCTGCGATTGGACGAATGGCTTTAATTCGGCGGGGCTTTGAGGCTCCCCCCGCTCACCCGCGCCGCGATTGGAGGAAACGCCTGAAGGAGGCGGGGCTTTGAGTCTCTCCTCCTTTTTCACCCCTCCCTCTCGCGCCGCCACTCATGCCTTCCCCGCGCTGCGATTGGACGAATGTCCTGAATGAGGCGGGTCTTATTATTATTATTAAATGGATTGATTCCACTGATTTGGGCCTGCCTACCATTCCAATGGTGACCACTAGGGGGCGGACCTCCCTTACTAATGAATGCAGAGGAAGCCTCTCTTAGGTCTGCTGATTGTGGGTGGACTACAACTCCCATAATTCCGGACTCTGGTTGTGGGTGGATTACAACTCCATAATTTTGGACTCTGCTTGTGGGTGGACTACAACTCCCATAACTCTGGAGTCTGCTTTGGGTGGACTAGAACTCCCATAATTCTGGAGTCTAGTTGTGGGTGGACTACAACTCCCATAATTCTGGAGTCTGGTTGTGGGTGGACTAGAACTCCCATAACTCTGGAGTCTGGTTGTGGGTGGACTGCAACTCCCATAATTCTGGGGTCTGGTTGTGGGTGGACTATAACTTCCTTAACTCTGGAGTCTGCTTGTGGGTGGACTACAACTCCCATAACTCTGGAGTCTGCTTTGGGTGGACTAGAACTCCCATAATTCTGGAGTCTGGTTGTGTCCCATCATGCTGTATTCGGATTGTGAGTGGGCTACGACTCCCACTGTGCTGTGCTATTTTCATTGTGGGTGGATTACAACTCCCATTGTACTTGTTTGTGAACTACAACTCCCATCATTCTGCGTTCTTTTGTAGTGGGTGGGCTACAACTCCCATCATGCTATTTTGATTGAGTGTGGACTACAAATCCCATCATGCGATGTGTTTTTGATTGTGGGTGGACTACAACTCTCCCCCCGCCAAAATATCCTAGGTAGATACAAACATATTTTCACTTTTATTATATAGATAGAAAAAGTATAAAACATAAATAGATATATATAATAAAAAACCAAATATTAGGAGGAAATCTTAAATAGGATTAAATTAATATCATAGATTCCTTGAGGCAGAGTGGAGGGCCTCATCGGCCTTCTCCATTCAGCTCCAGCTCATTGACGTACTCCTGGACCCATCGCTCAGCCGGGTTGGAGCAGACCTCACGCCCCTTGCGAGTGATGAACCTGCAGCGGGAATGAACAGCGGGATATCAGTACTCTTAACAGCAATAATGAGAGTCTCCTTTGGGAGAAAAGAAGTATAATAATAATAATAATATAAAATAATAATAATATAAAATAATATCATCATCATCATCTTTCACTTTGGGAGAAAAGAAGCATAATAATAATAATAATAATAATAATAATAATAATATAAAATAATAATAATATAATAATCATTCACTTTAAGTGAAAAGAAGCATAATAATAATAATGATGATGATAATAATAATAATAATAATAATAATAATAATAATAATAATAAGTCTTAGCCACTTTTAAGTCTTATTTGGGAGAAAAAAGGAGAATAATAATAATATATTAATAAGTGTCCAACGTGTGATCCAATTCAACAACCAGCCTAGTGATCTTGTTTGCTCTGTACTAATTTTGTTGTGTTTATAATAATAATAATAATAATAATAATAATATAATAATAATCAGCCACTTTAAGTCTCCCTTGGGAGAAAAAAAGCAGGATAATAATAATAATAATAGTAATAATAATAATAAATATATAAAATAATATATAATAATAATAACAACCAGCCACTTTAAATCTTCCTTGGGAGAAAAGTCACATAATAATAATAATAATAATAATAATAATAATAATAATAATAATAATAATAATAATAATAAATAAATAATCAGCCACTTTAAGTCTCCCTTGGGAGAAAAGAAGCAGAATAATAATAGTAATAACAATAAATATAAAATAATATATAATAATAATCAGCCGCTTTAGGTCTCCCTTGGGAGAAAAGAAGCAGAATAATAATAATAATAATAATAATAATAATAACAATAAATATATAAAATAATATATAATAATAATCAGCCACTTTAACTCTCCTTCGGGAAGAAAAGAAGTAGAATAATAACAATAATAATATACAATAATAATAATAATCCACTTTAACTCTCCTTTCGGAGTAAAGAAGGATACAAATAATAATAATAATTTAATAATAATGATTATAATAACATATATTATTAAAAATGCATAAATATATAAAATATAGTAATAATAATAATAATAATAATAATAATAATAATAATAAGCATCCTTACACAATGCCAGGCTGCGAGCAGCGGCTGTTGGTCTCGTAGTAGTCAACCACGTGGCTCCGTGGGATCTTCCTCAGCGTGTAAGTGAAGCAGCAAGACGTCGGTGGGTCCGATCCCACTGCAAGAAAAGGGGAGAGTCCTATTAGTTATATTCTGTCTTCCCTTATGGCAGAAGGACTGGATGGCCTCTTGGGGACCCTTCCAACCCTATGAATGCCAACCTGGGGTTGTAATAGTTGTAATAATGTAATAGTAATCTCTCTTCCTTTATGGCAGAGGGAGTTTGGATGACCTTTAGAGGTCCCTTCTGACTCTATGATTCCAATAATAGTAATAATCACAATTAACAGATACTAATGTAATAATAATTAAGCAGAGGCTGGATGGCCATCTGTTGGAAGGGTTTGGGTGGGGCCATAAGGGGGTTGGATTGGATGGCCTCTTGGGGACCCTTCAAGCTCTATACTACAAGCTGAACATGGGTCAACAGTGCGATGCAGCAACTAAAAAGGTCAATGTGATAGCCTCTAGGGTTCTATGAAACCCCCTTCTGCCCTCAGGTTGGCCCATATGTGTGTCTACACTACAGCTCCCAAGACCTCCACTTGGAAGGGAGTATGCAGTGCTCCAAATACTGGCTAAAATAGAGAACAGTTTCCAGGTCGGTTTGAGTGGGGAATCCGCTCCAGGCTTTGGATGGAGCTCTCCATGGTCTGATGCCATTTGGGAGCAACAATCAGTACCTCGGAGAGCTCCTTCGCAGTGCCAAGTAAGACCCGGAGTGGAATTTCCTACCTTAACTGACCTGGATCCCCATCTGTTTATATATTTATCATATATGTTTATTATTATTGGGAGTGATGTTATATTAAATATAATAATAATAATAATAATAATAATAATAATAATAATAATAATAATTGGGTCTGATCCTCCAGATCTCTACTTTCTCTCTATTATAACTCTCTTAATAATAATAATAATAATAATAATAATAATAATAATAAATTTATTACATTTTATGCATTTAATATAATAATAGGATGAGATGTTATATTAAATATAATAATAATACATATGTATTGTACTTTTATCCTTATTATTATTATTATTATTCCCTTTCAGGGGGGAAAGGGTGGGGTATAAATATTGGAAATAAATAAATAAATATTATTAAAGCTCACTCAATAATTATAAATAAATATAATAAATACACATGTATTATACTCTTATCCCTATTATTAATAATAATAATATAATAATAAACATAATATAATAATAAATATATCATATGTATTAAAATGCAAATTTATTACACTCGTACGCCTATTATTACTATTATTATATATCCCCTAATAATAATAATAATAATAATAATAATAATACATATAATATAATAAATAAAAATTCTCTTATCCCAATCATTACTATTATGTCTCCCAATAATAATATATAATATATATAATATTATACAGATATATCACACTCTTATCCCTATTATTACTATGTTTCCCAATAATAGTAATAATAATTATATAATACATAATATATTATACTCTTATCCATATTACTATTATTATTATATATTAATCTCAACAATAATAATAAATTAAATATAATAAATAGAAATGTATTATACTCTTATCCTTATTATTATATATCTTCCAATAATAATAATAATAATAAATTAAATACAATAAAAGATATTCTTATCATATATATATATATATATCAATTATAAGAAGTAACATATAAAAATATAAATTTATTATTATACTCTTATCCATATTATTATTATATATCTCAATAATAATAATAATAATAATAATAATAAATTAAATATAATAAATAGAAATGTATTATACTCTTATCCCTATTATTGCTAATAATAAATATATAATAAATAATATAATATTATACCCTTATCCGTATCATTATTATATATTAATCTCAACAATAATAATAAATTAAATATAATAAATAGAAATGTATTATACTCTTATCCCTATTATTATATATATTCCAATAATAATAATAATAAATTAAATACAATAAAATATATCCTTATCCATATATATATATAATTAAATATAATAAATAGAAATGTATTATACTCTTATCCCTATTATTATTATTATTATATATCTCAATTATAATAATAAATAAAAATATAATAAATATAAATTATTATTATTATTATTATTATTATTATTGTTGCTACTCTGCTTCCCATCCTCCCCAACCCAGACTCACGTGGGGCAGAGGCGACTGGATTGCCCAGAAAGGCAACCAATAGCAGGACCAAGGCAGAAAAGGCCAGGACGGAAGAGGAGGAGGAGGAGGAGGATTTCATGGTTCCTGTTCTGGCTCGAAGGAGGATAATAAGGCTGGAGTGATTTCTTTGCAGAGCCTCCAAGTTCGAATCTGTGGCTTCTCTTTTTCCCGCGGTTTTTATAGGTGGTGGCGCGGGATTTCCCACTAGGGGGCGTGGCTAGTGACGTCACCCGCGGGAAACAGCCCCGCCCCCTCTTGCAGAGGATTTTGCAGAGCCAGAAAGGGAATTCCCTCTCTGTGACAATAGAGGATCTTTTTCATTATCACATGTCCTGTTGCTTTAATACATGCTGCATAGTACCCAATAGATGCATAGTAATATAATATAATATAATATAATATAATAATATAATATATAATAATACCATATAATATAATATAATAAATATACTATAATACATGCCGCATAGTATCCAATAGATGCATAGTAATATAATATAATATAATAAATATAATATAATATATAATAATACCATATAATATAATATAATATAATAAATATAATATAATATATAATAATATAATATAATACATGCTGCATAGTATCCAATAGATGCATAGTAATATAATATAATATAATATAATATATAATAATATATAATAAATATAATTAATATAATATATTATAATAATACCATATAATAATAAATATAATATAATACATGCTGCATAGTATCCAATAGATGCATAGTAATATAATATAATATAATATAATAAATATAATATAATATATAATAATACCATATAATATAATATAATAAATATAATATAATACATGCCGCATAGTATCCAATAGATGCATAGTAATATAATATAATATAATATAATATAATATAATATAATATAATAATATAATATATAATAATACCATATAATATAATATAATATAATAAATATAATATAATACATGCTGCATAGTATCCAATAGATGCATAGTAATATAATATAATATAATATAATAAATATAATATAATATATAATAATACCATATAATATAATATAATATAATATAATATAATAAATATAATATAATATAATATATAATAATACCATGTTGTTGTTCACTCGTTCAGTCGTCTCCGACTCTTCGTGACCTCATGGACCAGCCCACGCCAGAGCTCCCTGTCGGCCGTTACCACCCCCAGCTCCCTCAAGGTCAGTCCAGTCACTTCAAGGATGCCATCCATCCATCTTGCCCTTGGTCGGCCCCTCTTCCTTTTGCCTTCCACTTTGCCCAGCATAATTGTCTTCTCTAGGCTTTCCTGTCTCCTCATGATGTGATACCATATAATATAATATAATATAATATAATATAATAAATATAATATAATACATGCTGCATAGTATCCAATAGATGCATAGTAATATAATATAAATATAATATAATATAATATAATATAATATAATATATAAATATATATAATATAATATAATATAATATAATATAAATAATATTATATATAATATAATTATTATATTACAATGCCGACTCTTCGGCTTAGAAATGGAGATGAGCAGAGTCTCAGAGTTGGACACAACTGGACTTAATGTCAGGGGAAAACCTTTACCTTTACCCTTAGCCATCCTTTATGGCGCTCCATGCAGTCATGCTGGCCACATGACCTTGGAGGTGTCTATGGACAACTCTGGCTCTTCGCTTTAGAAATGGAGATGAGCACCAGAGTCCCAGAGTCAGACATGACTGGACTTAATGTCAGGGGACTAACTTTACCTTTTATATGCTATTATATATATCAAATATGTAATATGGTATTATCATATATATATATATAATGTAACATTATATAATATAATGTAACATTATATAATATAACATTTATCAAATATATATATGTATGGTATGATATATATATCTGATTTTAATGAATAAAACCATATTATGATATTATATATAATATGCAATATGGTATTATTATCATATATATATATATAATGTAATATATAATGTAACATTTACCATATAGATATAGATATAGATATAGATATAGATATAGATATAGATATAGATATAGATATAGTATGGTATTGTATATATTTAATTTTAATAAATAATAAATAACCATATTAATATGGTTAATATATAATATAGCATATATTTTATATGATTTTATTATTTATATTTTATATATTTTATATGTATTATATAATATAAATAATGTAATATATGGTGTGTGTGTATGTATATATTATATGACCATATCTATATTATATATAGGTATATGCATTATATATATCATATTAATTGTTATATTATATTATATTATATTATGTATAAATCTATATATAATATTATATGAACATATTACATATTATATATAATTACAGTATAATGATATTTTCATATAATAATATAATATAATATTCATTATATAATAATAATATATGTTTTAATATTTATTTCAGTTTTTACCACTATCATTTTTGCATATAAATGTTTAATACTGTTTTAATTATCATATTCAATACTGGCTTTTAACTTTGCTTTTGACAGTGTTTTTTAATACCTCAATATTTATGTTCATATTCTGAAGTTTACACATTTTTTGGTGCTGGTTATTGACTGTAATTTATACACACACACACACACACATATATATTACTGTCAATGACCAGGACCAAATGTGCAAACATCAGAATACACACACACACAGACACAAATATACACATAAGTACACACACACACATACACATATATATTACAGTCAATGACCAGCACCAAATATGCAAACGTCAGAATACACACACACACACAC